AAAGAAGAGTAAACTATTTAAAAAGCTCAAACAAAATGGACATACCATCAATGTTTAGTCAAAAAGACTGCAGGAGTCATACAGATGATAGTTCACTGCACTTATTGACTAAAAACAAACCACCAGCATGTTTTAAGCTATTAAAAAATAAGCTTAAAAAATAATCAGGCAGAGCTCAATGGTAGCTGCTATATCTCACTTTTGTTTTCCAATTTCATGCCTAAGCAGTCATCCCATGTTGCAGAGTATACTGCACCATTCTGCTCACGTAAGATTTATAGAAAACATAAAACCGATAACTCCCACCTAAAATCGGCGTTCCCTCCTACGTCTTCATTGCTGAGGTTGTTCATCTCATTTACAGGCAGTTTTATTTCTCTTTACTGTACATGGGACAGACTACTTTTATAAAAGAAAAAGGAGGATGTCTTTTTTGTGTTAGACAAGTGTAATATACAGTTCTATTAAAACTGATACTCTAAGACGCAAATAAAGTTTGTTTTAGATAAATCATATTCTTAAAGCTGATATGAACAAATATTTACCTTTTGTTGAAGTGGTTTTCATGTAGCACCAACAAAAGTTGGATACAGATGTTTCTTCTCATGATTTTTATCTAAGGTCTGACCCCAAGATGCAGAAGACCAAACAGAGAGACCAGGGAAAAGTTTAAACAGGTTTATTTAGTAATGATGTAATGAATCCAGTGCTGCTCTGAGCACTGCTCAACAGGCACTGAAAGGCGAGGGGAAGACACGGTTAGTTCAGGCTCAGTGGGAAATGTGAATCTTTGGTTTGCATAGGCGGAAAAGGTTGCAGACTCACTTCTCCAGGGAAATGTGTTCTTTATGGAATCCAGACTGTTAGGGTGTACCAGAGATTGTCTTGTTTGGTGATGGGTGGACTGGGTTACTCAGACTGCGGTTGTTCCCTGGTGAATGGAGAAGCTGACTGCCACTCTGATTTCCTGCGGTACTTGAACGGGCTGCGGTGCCGATGAAACCTTTGCTTGGTGTGAAAATCAAACGCCCTCTTGGGGAAAGTGGGTCCAAACTTCCTGTTAGGAACCGCAGCTCAGTTACAAGCTCAGTTGAATCTTCCAGAGAGAGAAGGACCGAACAATTCCAGTTTGCAGGATGACTTCCTGGCGAGAGGCAAAGACAAAAACAAAGTTAAGACTCAGGTTGACAAAAAACTCAGTTTGACTCAGAAAGACTAAGCTTGACTAGAGAATCCAAAACTGGCAAACAAAAACTCAGGTTAGGCTCTGCTAAACTAAGCATGACTAGAGTGCCCAGTATTGGCAAAACAAAGACTTAGGTTAGGTTAGACTCTGCTAAACTAAGCATGGCTAGAGTACTCTGTATTGGCAAACACTCTGGCGCAGAGGTAGTGGCAGTCATCAGCTTAAGAACACTCCACAGGCAATGAGGCAATGAACTGCAGGTGTGCAGGGAGACCCAATGAGGACGGTGCACCACCTGGTGGAGGAGGAAAGGAAACACAAAAACAGACCACACAAACTGGATTCCTGACATTTCTGATAATTTAGGGGTTTCAATTATTCACAAATGTTAGAAGTTGTAAAATCAGGTGCAAATATGAATACTTTAACCCACACACAGTTTAACAGTTTGAACATAGAACACACATGCTTTGTGTAGCCATCTACCAGCTTCTGGAATGAATATAGATTAGTTGGTTTCAGGGAACCGAGGGGTGGGATTGAGAAATTTGGGCCACATTAATTAAAAGTAAGTTCATACATAAGCAAACTTATGAAGACGGGCAGGCTGAGGTAGAATAATTATGAAAGTTTAATGGAAAAATAAGATTAAATCCCAAAGATGTCATGAAACGAGGACAGATGGACCCAGTATTCAAGGAGAGACAGTCAGTAGGAAAGTTCAAAAAGGTTTATTAAATTAACAAAAACCAAAGTGGAGCTGTGGCTCACGGACACTGCAGGATGGGGAGCGGGGCACCGCCCAATCACAGAACTCTGGTTTAACAGTCCAGTCCTAGAATGTCCCTAAGTGCTGCAGTCTCAGAGGACATGCTGGAAGCCGATCCTGGTCAGGGATCCAGAACAGACAGGAACAGACAGGGACAGGATCCAGATCAGGCAGGAACAGAAACAGGAGGCAGGATCCAGACTTCCAGGCATCCACAAGCTCCCAGGAAGGTTCAGAGTCTGACAAGGTCCAAAAGCGTGACCAGGTGGTCACACACAGGAACAGACAGGATCAGGTGCAGATGAGCAGACTCAGTGAAAGAGGGTAGCCGAGACAGGATGTGGAAACAGAACTTGTTGCAGGACCTTTAAACTGGTCTCCACCTTGGAGCCAGGCTTACTAGGATAAAAACTGAACCTCCCCGCATACAGAGCCAAAAACCCAGAGGACTCAGCAGGGGAGGAACAGTGGACGATCAGGACACGAGACAGACACAAAACCCTCTTTCCACTGGCCCCCAGGATCCAGGACATGAACCAAGAAAATAAACTGAACAGACAGGCTAACAGAAAAACAGTTAATGATCTGGCACTGAATGCTCAGGCTGAACTGAATATAAACCAGAGGAAACAGGTGAGAGGAATAAATTATAATTGAGGCAGGGAGGGAAAACGACAGGTGAAAGGAATGACTAATTAAGGGAGAGCAAACAGGCTAGATCATGACAAAAGATGGTTATAAACAGGATTGGTGTGGAAAAAAGGCATGATAAGAGTTGCTCAGGGAAACACGGTGTGGGACCAGTATTTAGCCGTGAAGGGAGAAAACTAACTGAAACAAATATGTTTTAAAGGACATCAGCAAAAAAGGCTGATAAGCAGGTGAAATGATTCTGTAGCAAAGAAAAGCAAGGATGGTGGAAGCTGGGTGTGATTGGAACTGCCACATTTGTATAACTTTTGTTCTTTGTAGGTATGTTATTGGAGGCTGTATTCCTAATTTGACCAGCAGTATTTATGTGTATAGCCATAAATACTACTTTATGTGTATTGTAGGGAGGGAGCAATCTTAAGCTGCCTCCCTACCCTGGATAGTGTTCTTACTGTTGGCCCTGTGAAAGGTGAAAGATAGGAGCTACAGTAAGGGCTAGAGGCTGTTTCTCAATTACTTGTGCATTTTCATGTGCATTTGTGCTTGTGAAACATCATCAGCCTCAGCCCTAGTACTGTTCCAATTCACAAGAACACAAAAGCGAGAACTCCCCAGATGTTGTTCTCGCCCCTAACTGTATGCATCAGAGCAGACCTATGCATTCTCAAGTTCTCGAGTGTACTGTACAGCTGTCCCAGCATGCACCGCGGCGGCAGCCTCTTGCAGTAGAGCGCTCACGGAGCTCAGAGAAAAAAGTTAAACGTTCTTTTTCTGTTACTGTTGTTCTATAAAAGTACATTTTAAGATAATTTGAGGTGAGAGCATTATCCTTTTAAGCTCCACTATATGGCCCATTTACTGATTTAATGCCTAATTTGAAAAATGTTCCGATGTTTAGAGCAGTGTTTTTCAAACCTGGTCCACAAGGCACACTGCTCTGCATGTTTTGAATGTTTCTGAGCTTCAGCACACCTGATTCAGATGATTGCAGTTCAGCAAAGCATGATAATCTGCTATCAATTGATAACAGGTGTGTGAAAGCTGGGAAAAAAACTAAAACATGCAGGGCAGTGTGCCTTGAGGACCAGGGTTGAAAAACACTGGTTTAGAGAACCGCGGCAACCAGCGGACCTCCGAGGGTAAGGGCAGGCAGGTCTAATTCTAGCCCATCTACAGCAGCCCTCTCTCGGTATAGCCTCCTGTAAAGGACTGCTGGCTCTGATGGTGATTTTTTTGTTTTATTTGGCAAACTCTTCATTTGATTTGTGTTTATCCAACTGTGTTAATTATTATTCCCCCACTAAATGAAAAAAGTAAGAATTTATTATTATGTAGAGACTATTAATAACAGGTGAAATGCAGCTCCAGACGAGCCGATTATGTGGTGACGTCATGAGTACGCTTCTGTTCCAATAGGCCCAGATTTATGCTGTGCTCTCCCGTTCTCCCCAAGTTCTTACTTTTGTGTGTTCTTGTCAAGGACGTACTTGTCAAGAACACAAGTCCGTATTTGCGTTCTTGTGAATTGAAAAGCAGCCACAATTTTAGGTACTCTGAAGAAAGATCTGCCACTTTATGAAACATAATGGAAAACTCAAAAATCTGGTTCATCCTTGGGTGCAATTTCTAAATGCCTGAAGATGCCTTCATCTTTTTAAACAATGCATCATTACATACTAGAACCTATGGTAATGACCATGTTCATGATGTAAAGGTGGTAACTTTTAACTGGACTCTTCTGCTTTTAGATCTTGTTGGTGTTTTAGTATTGCTTTTAGCCATATAAATTGATTTAACTTGAATATTAGAATTGAGTTTGTATAATTTGTTATGAATTCAAATACATTTTTTTTTTTTTTTTTAGCTTTTTGGCCATTTTTTTTTTTTTTTATTTAGCAAGGCTAGAAAACCATTGTGTTTCTCTCATTATTTGTTCCTTTCTTTGTCTTTGAAATATAATTATAGCTTTCATGGAAGAAGAAGGTCAAACATTTTGCAAAGTAATCCTTTCCAATAATGGGAGTTGAATATTCACCCACAGTTAGCTTCTAAGTTACAGTTTGGTTTTATCTAACACAACTTTCTTATGAATATTATTCCAGCTTTTTCATTTTCTACTTCCAATCCGTTGATATGATTGCTTCTCTTGCTGCAGAATGATTATTCAGTCAGATTTGGAGAATATGTTTTTCCTGTACTATGTGTCCATTATACAACCTCAGGGAAGTTATTACCTTCACTCCTTACAGGGAATTATGTGGTTAGATTTGAAAAAGAAACAAAAAAAGTCAGTTTCATACAGTTTATGCTCTTCTATGCTGTCTAACTTTGCTCTGTTTCATTTACATCTTTATCCTCGCTACATTTCCCCCAATCTGTTCTCTTTGTCTGCAGGGCCAGTATTGTTCAGAAAAGAGTCATCTATTTCCAGGATCAAGGTTCACTCACCATTCGACTTTGTGAGAAAGGTAATGACAGCTGCCTAACTTATCCTAGACTGTCTTTTGCTGTCCGTTTTTCCTACATTCCCTACATCATGGAATTAAAATAGCATTCTCCAAACCTAAAGATATAATGGAGGATGTTAATTTTCCGAGTGGATCATCAAAATAAGTGGTCCTCCTAATTGTCAATCATTCTGGTGATATGTTAATGTAAGGCCTTCTTGCATGCACCTCCCCATTTTCACTTATCAGTCTGACATAGTAGAAGATGTGCAAATTTTCTTTTGGAAAGTAAGCTTGTATGAGCGACGCAAACAGCAACTTTTAAACCAAGTGTGCACGAGAGAAATGAGCTTGTGCACACTCTCACGCATGTTTAACAGGCGGTCGGGGTTGTGCATGTGCATATTTTTTTAAAGGGGAGAGGGCAGTTTTTTTCAAAAAATTGCGGAAATCCTCCACTAGACCTTTACCAGTCATTGGTAGATTTGTATGTTGAAATCAGTTTTTTCTTCAGAAACATCTTTTTGCTGATTACATATTGATCTTAATTGTCTTTATTTTATTGTATTTCCTTTAAATTTTGCATGAAGTAGCCTGTTTTTCCCTGAGTTACAATGATTTTTATAAAGTTACTTGCCCAGTCTTGTCTTTAAAGGAAAGAGCAGGCCTGATAGGTTTTGGCCCTTCTCTTTGTTGTGTGTCTTATTTCAAATTTTTGTAAATTGTAAATTTAATCAATTTGTTTTTTGTTTTTTTTCTCTAGAAAGTCTACTTTTGTTTGTCAAATATCAGGTGTGACCACAGGGTGTTTTTTAACCAATGCATTTTATTCACCTTTGTCCACATTTTAAACTCAAACATCAGATTAGGTTCATTTCTGTTTAAAATCTAAATTGCAAAAGATTTATGGTTTTTTTGTTGTTGTTTTTTTTGCCCATGTTTACAACAAACTACATTAAACCATCTAACCAGCTTTTGTTGAATGCAACACTGATAATTGTCTCCTGTGGGGAACATATTGTTGTGGTTGTTTATTATTAAAGGATTTTCTTTCCATTTATGGATTAAATCTCACAGGTTTTGAAAGATATCTTTAACATTTGTAATCCCTGTTTATTGTAAAGATGCTCTTACTTTCACCATTCAAGAGATGCTTTTTAAACTTTAACTTTTGTGATTGAATATGTTTTTATGGGTCAGCCCTAGGACTAAATCAGCAACATGGGTGGTTCTATACAGGGTCCAGAAGGGGCCCCTGTTATGGCCCCTGTACTAAAGATTTAACGCATAATAAACTCATGATAGATAAATGATAATATGCACTGGAACAGGAAGACACAAATGATATGTCTCTTGGACTAGTGTAGTTGTTTTTTTGTTGTTGTGTTTTTTACAGTTTTATGTTAACATAGAAATTAAGCTGTTGCACTTCTAGCTTTAGTAATTTTAAGATTTAATCACCATTTTCACCTGCTTTATCTAAGGTTTGCGAAGCAGCAGATAGCTTTCTGGCTCACCCTTTGTTTACGTTTTTTTGTTCAGTACCCCCATGAAAAAACACTGGCCCTACTATGGATCCCAAGTAAATCTGGTCTAAAGCATCGCTAATCAGCAGATATTGATTTTCTCTGATACAAACAGGACTGGTTTGGACACTGTAAAAGAGTTCAGTTATTTTGTTATCCATAATTTCATACAAACCTTTCTTCATGTCTGTTTTTGAGTTGTTTGCCTGCATCATTCAATTTAATTGCCTATAATTTATGAGCTTCTTTGTTTTGATTCATTGAATGTGTGAAATAGTGGGTTTGTTTGCAATAACATGTCAAAATGTCACTTCAGTAGGACCATCATGCATATATTTCCTTACAGTAAGAATTTATTATCTGCATTTAGTCAATAGATCTGGCTGAATAGCTGAAATCTAACAGACAAAATGAATATATCACAAGGGAATATATGTGAGATTTCAGTTTGCCAGCACAAAGCAAAGAGAGAGGTTTTATATTGGCTATATATTGTCACAAAGAGGAGTGCTCAATCATTCTTTAAGCTCTTAAAAGAAACCAAACAGTCTGGTTAGGTAATAAACTAGCAGGATTTTCTCAGCTCGCTTGCAAACATTTATTGTACAATAAAAACTGTCTGTGGTTGAATTGTTTTCTCATAGGAATCCTGTCTTTATATACATTTTCATTTCACACTGAATTCAGATTTTTCATGCTATTATCCAAGTCAGTCAAGGCATCGTATCAGTTTAGGTTCCTTAAAGTTTGACTCTTTCTGCTGCTACTGAGATATCAGGAGAAAATATCCATTCATTAATTGGGCCATATATAAATACTTACATTATTTCCTTGACCTCGCTTTCAGAATCTTTTGTCCAGGTCAAAATTGGAATATTTATGAATAAGTTATGGCTAGAATGTCATTGTAATAACTTATTTCTCCCAATTATTACTCTGTGGCTGTGATGGAGGGTGAAGGAGCACAGCGAAGATGTTTTTTTTTAAATCACAATGAAAGGATCAAATACAGAAAACACTTAAGATATTTTTAGGCACCTTTAAAAAAAAAAAGGGGGGGTTTATTCATCTGTTCATCCATTGTTGTCCTAATTCCAGCACAGACCGGATCCAGTCAGCACCTCTTCCCTGGACTGGTGCTTCAATTACCCGCTGTTAGCTTTCAGAGCTAGTCGCAGACAGCCGGCCGAAAGCACCAGAAAGTCACTGGTTTCATGTTTGGTCTGAACACACCAGTAGGAAATTCATGTAAAATGGAACTTGTAATATTCCGGTACTTATGAGATCAATACACGACCTTAGTTTCACAAACAATATCCTTAGTTAAAAAGTGTAAAATCAAACTTATATGACTGGCTAATCATCAATGAATATAAACTATAAATAAATACTTGTGGTGTCACAAAGTTAAGAGGTTATAAGCTACAAGCTAATCTGATGATAAAACATAAAAGCACAAATTTACAAAAAGCAGGTGACAGTTCACTGCTAAATTATTGCTAAATACTTTTGAAGCTTTTTCCATTATTTCATTAAAGGGTATTGATTCAATGTTGTCGTAGAAGTACTTTTTAATTTTGAGTATCGCATTTCAGAATAATTGTTAATGTTTTTCAACTGATCTGAATTAATTATAGTGATGCCTGTACCACTAATCATCTTTTCCTTTGTAGTTTGACCAAACAAACACTTGTGTTTGAAAAGACTGTATTTACATATATTTGTAAAACCTTTCTTATGTAGTATTTTTTCCCCCTGAGGTTTAATTCCAGGTATATATTATCCTGTTTGTCGAACACCTGCATACATTACCTAAAAGTTAGCCAAGGGAAGTGATGAAAAATAAGAGGCATCCAAAAAATGGTGGTTATTTGTAAATATGGAAAGAAGGCAAATGTCAAATATATAACAACATCAGGAATTTTCTACTAAAACTGTTGGTTTTACCTTTAAGACAATCAATAGAAAGTTCCCATCGTGTAGTGGTTGAAGTCTTCGACCCAATGGCGTAATGACAGATACAATTATGCAATTCTCAGTAGTATATGATCACACATCACACACGGAAAAATAGTGACTGCGCATCTTGAAACATGCCCCATACATACACATTTGATCATTCTCCACCTTCACTGGACATTGATATACGTTAGTACATTCTGATGTAAAATGAGTCTTATCGGGCTCATCGGGCTACCACGCTCTCTCCATTCATCTCCTGGTCACAATCTTTACTCACTGTAGCAGCAACGTCCACCTCTCGCTTTTTGGTTCTTTAAAAGAACGTGTTTATTTTGGGAATTTTTTTCAGTTTTTCCAGCAGCTCTTCTTTCCTTTTTCTTTTCTGGAATTTGCTTAAGTACCTCTCTTTGGTATCCATCGTCACTAACACATTGTACATAACGGTTATGGTTTTAATCTACGCTCTGGGGTACCCATAATTCCAAGTCTTAACTGAAAAAATAAAATACTCAAATACATCATTCTTTTAAGATCTTTATTGCGGTTTGAAACATTTGAATGTATTTTTTACCAACCGTCTAATGAACTATACACATTTATTAACATAGTATTTAAAAGTCCCACTGCCTGCTTTGCTACTGGTGTCATGTATAAACGGCTCACCATCATGTTGAAATCTGGCATGTGTTGCGGTAAAAATACAGTCCGGTGCGGTCAGTCTCCTCAGTATCAGGTGGGTTTAAGTGGAACTTTTCACACCACTACATCTGCAAAGAGACCTCCTAGTCTACAATTCCATAGGGGGCCTCCCAGGTGTCAGTGATGGGGCCCCGAAGAGGTTGTTGGCCCGTGAGCAACTGCTCTCTCTGCTGACCGATAATTACCCCATAGCTTTGACCTTGATGACTTCTAATCCTGGTTACTTTAAAAAGGAAGTTTGATGTAAACATTTTACCAACTCTGCCATATTGAGTTGCTGTGGTGATCAATGAACACCGGGGCCCCTGAAAGGGCCCACTTTCATACAGAAGTGTTTGAAATAGACTTGGTAAGGGAATATACAGGTGCTGGTCATAAAATTAGAATATCATGAAAAAGTTGATTGATTTCAGTAATTCCATTTAAAAAGTGAAACTTGTATATTATATTCATACATTACATACAAACTCATATATTTCAGATGTTTATTTTGTTTAATTTTGATGATTACAAATGACAACAAATGAAAATCTCAAATTCATCATATCAGAAAATTAGAATATTGTGAAAAGGTTCAAAATTGATGGCCCCTGGTGCCACACTCTAATCAGCTAATTAACTCAAACCACCTGCAAAAGCCTTTAAATGGTCTTTCAGTCTAGTTCTATAGGCTACACAATCATGGGGAAGACTGCTGACTTGACAGTTGTCCAAAAGACGACCATCGACACCTTGCACAAGGAGGGCAAGACACAAAAGGTCATCGCTAAAGAGGCTGGCTGTTCACAGAGCTCAGTGTCCAAGCACATTAATAGAGAGGCGAAGGGAAGGAAAAGATGTGGTCGAAAAAAGTGTACAAGCAAGAGAGATAACCGCACCCTGGAGAGGATTGTGAAACAAAACCCCTTCAAAAATGTGTGGGAGATTCTCAAAGAGTGGACTGCAGCTGGAGTGAGTGCTTCAAGAACCACCACACACAGACGTATGAAAGACATGGGTTTCTGCTGTCCCATTCCTTGTGTCAAGCCACTCTTGAACCACAGACAGCGTCAGAAGCGTCTAAAGAGAAACAGGACTGGACTGCTGGTGAGTGGTCCAAAGTCATGTTCTCTGATGAAAGTAAATTTTGCATTTCCTTTGGAAATCAAGGTCCCAGAGTCTGGAGGAAAAGAAGAGAGGCACTTCATCCACGTTGCTTGAAGTCCAGTGTAAAGTTTCCACAGTCAGTGATGGTTTGGGGTGCCATGTCATCTGCTGGTGTTGGTCCATTGTGTTTTCTGAGGTCCAGGGTCAACGCAGCCACATACCAGGAAGTTTTAGAGCACTTCATGCTTCCTGCTGCTGACCAACTTTTTGGAGATGCAGATTTCATTTTCCAACAGGACTTGGCACCTGCACACAGTGCCAAAGCTACCAGTACCTGGTTGAAGGACCATGGTATCCCTGTTCTTAATTGGCCAGCAAACTCTCCTGACCTTAACCCCATAGAAAATCTATGGGGTATTGTGAAGAAGAAGATGCAATACACCAGACCCAACAATTCAGAAGAGCTAAAAGCCACTATTAGAGCAACCTGGGCTATCATAACACCTGAGCAGTGCCACAGACTGATCGACTCCATGCCACGCCGCATTGCTGCAGTAATACAGGCCAAAGGAGGCCCAACTAAATACTGAGTGCTGTACATGCTCATACTTTTCATGTTCATACTTTTCAGTTGGCCAACATTTCTATAAATCCTTTGTTTTTATTGGTCTTCAGTAATATTCTAATTTTCTGATATGATGAATTTGAGATTTTCATTTGTTGTCATTTGTAATCATCAAAATTAAACAAAATAAACATCTGAAATATATGAGTTTGTATGTAATGTATGAATATAATATACAAGTTTCACTTTTTAAATGGAATTACTGAAATCAATCAACTTTTTCATGATATTCTAATTTTATGACCAGCACCTGTATACACAACATTTTTGATAAACTTTTTCTCTATACACTCATTACACGTATATACCTTCCAAATGATTCTTTTGAAATTAATTTCATATCAAATGAATGTAAAACTGACCACTTTCAAAGGGTAAATCATCTAAACCATATGAGAGAAGCAATAGATAAAGTGCTGACAATATGTGAAGGCTCGAATTTATCGCGTTTTTTCTTTTTATTTTCCTATTGGGAGCATTATAGGTGATTAAATGCTGTTCAACATGGTCATACTTTAATTGTAATCAAAAATGCTTGAAGTTACAACCTTTAAAAACTCATTGTTGGTCTCATCTGGTCAAAGCACACAGCTGCAGTTCAGTCAAAACTGAGGAAAAACTAGGGATAAAAAAATTTTTTTTTTTCTCCAAAAATGTGTCTGAAACAGATAGTTTAATGAATGAGGTAAGTATATGATGCATGTTTAGCTGCAGAGCTGTGCTTAAAAGGTTTCTTTAACCAAATTTACCATTCAGGTTTTGGGTGTGGTGTCAGTATACACTAAAGCTTGTCCAGTCTTGTTTATCAGAATTTAGATGATGTTAAACTTAATAATTATTCACCTAACTGTATATGGGCCTAATAATGAAGGCACTATTTTGCTACAGTATACCCTTTTCCTACCTTCTATGGAGCAGTATATATCTGCGTTATTAACTAACATGTTCGTTTGTCTTTCCCCTTTTTAGAAGTAGTTCAGTGAAAATGAGCCATGTTTAGGCTGTTTTTTAGGGAATTAGTATTAATATTGTTATTTTTTAGGGAATGCAGTGATAACCTGCATTTTGACTAAAAACTTCTCAGCAAAATGTATTTTAGATAACTTGTGTTATGGGAGAAGAGAAAGTGTTGTCCTGATGCAAAAGATTTGTCCAAGCTCAACAGCTATTTCCTGCTTAAATAGTTGATAAAATAATATGCTTTGAGAATAAAAGTCTAATAAATATGTTGTAGAGATTAATTTTGTGTGAAGTCAAGTCATTGTATGCCTGTTTACTGTTTGGCTTTAAGCAACAGGTTAACAGTATAAATATCTCCATATTTATATTAGTTGTGATCCAGTCTGGTCTGTCAAAGCTTTAATATTTGACTCCTTGTGTTTATTATCTTTCACATGGTGTCCCCCTGCAGAGCGTGTTCTTGGTGAAGTGACTGAAGTACCTGCCATTGAATGCTGCGCCTGTGGAACGGCCAAATACAGACTCACCTTCTATGGCAACTGGTCAGAAAAAATACATCCAAAAGACTATCCAAGTGAGTCATTGCAACAGGCTTAGGCAGGCACCTACAGCTACTCTGTGGCTCATCAGAATGATTCAGGTTTTTTGGGGATTTTTTTCAATCACATTTGCTGTACTCCAAAAAAAATAAAAAATTAAAGCAGTAATGAGGAATTACTCTGATATTAACTACTAATCAGGGATACCGTTTGCTTTAAACTTTTACACATGAACTGATATCCTTACAGAGAAAAAAGAACCTTAGATTTTATATGGAGTGAATTTATTACTAAAATTGGTCCAAAGAGCAAATTTTGTGAATGGAAATTTGAAACTCTAAAAATGCTCCTTTTTCAGATTTTACCTTGCTTTTTTTATGTTTAATTTTTTTTTCATACATCTTTTTTTTAGACATTTTTCAGACAGAAAAAGTTTACCAATTGCATTTTTTTTTTTTTATTGTTTTAGAGATCACATTCTCTCCACTTCAAGCTCTATAAAAATGCTCCATCTTGACCTATAAAACTCAATCTGAAAAAAAAAAAGAGATTTTGAAATTATTTTAGAATCATTTTAGAATATAAAAAAAAGTCAGCTAAATAAGAAAAATCTAAGAACATTTTATTTCTGGAGTGCATTTTTTTAATTTCCATATACGATACGTGTCCTTTGCTTGCAACAATAATGGAACAAAATTTACTCCATACATTTTCCCCTGATAGGTTATCACTGGGCATGTGAGAAAAATGTAAAAATCGGTAATCACAGTTGCAATTTTGTAACATTCATTTGTTACGAATAGAATGAAACAATCATTGTTTTTTTCATGAATTTTTCATGTAACTTTCATCATTTCAGCTTATGAATAATGAACAATTTTTCTACAATTTTAGATAAGAGGTGATCCAAAAAGATAGAAAAAAAGTCCGGATTCTTTTGTCAAGCATCACATTAGTTGTTGATTATGAATAATTTATTGGATGAGTATTTAAACTTTGTGTAGTTTTCTCTAAAATGTTACAAATTTACTACCAATGCTTTTACACAAAAGACACAGATCTTAATGTTTGATCAATTGTGAGTTTTATCCAATGATTTAAATGTGGTCCTCCATTAAGAAAAAAACAAATCTTGGTTATCAACCATTTTCATCTTTGTGTTACTGACAGGGAGCCATGCTACGGTTCACCCGCTTTTACAGTTACACTGCAAAAAATATAAAGTCACTTTTTTCTAAAAATAAGTGCATTTTTTCTTGAATTGAGGAGGAAAGGCTGATAGTTTGCCAAAAGCATTGTTTTATTTCAAGTGCATATTATCTAATAATTTTATTTTAGGAGTAAAAATACTCATTCCATAGGCAGATCCTCTTGTTTACCCGCTCACATTAAGGGTAACTACACTTGATTGAAGACATTTTTACTCATTACTAGATCGTTTTTGCAGTGTAGGTAAACAACTCGGTGCTAATGTTCCTGTCTCCTTCAGGACGTGCCAACCACTGGTCTGCCCTGATTGGTGCATCACACACCAGGAGTTATGTGCTGTGGGAATACGGTGGCTATGCTAGCGAGGGAGTTCGACAGGTAGCTGAGCTTGGCTCCCCCATCAAGATGGAAGAAGAGATTCGACAGAAGGTAGGGCTAAACTCACCTGATACCTGTAAGGCACCAGCCATATAAATACTGTCCGGTTGTGTCGTTTTGGTTTTGTCAGATATGTTTGTTTAATCGTTGTGTTTTAATGTTTCTTCTGCTTTAATTCCTTGGTAGTGCTTTGAGTTTTCTTCAATAACACTCTTATATACTGTCCACAAAATCATCGGTACTTGTAAACTAACCAATGTTTTCTTACAGAACCTCTATGTATGTTTAAGTGTAGCTCTGATTGGCAGGTTTACTGAAAACCTTTAAAGAAAGAAATGCTTTTAACAGCTTTTATGATGTTTATCAAAACAGGAACAGTGAAAAATGGTGGAAATGATTGTTGATGGCAAATGGCAACAGTAATGGACTGCATTTAAAAACCTTTTACTGAATACAAAAGCACATTCTATAATGTTCTTTTCACTCAAACACAAAACAGCAACAAACAGACCCCGAAACTGTCAGTACAGCTGTTGCCTCGCACTCTTGTCTACATGTTAAATAAAAAGAATTGTCAACGGTTTTACTCCATGAAGGAAAACTTTATGATTGAGACAAAATGATGGTAATAAATGAACGATGAACTTGTTTTGTCAAAAGATGTTCTCCCCATGAACCAGTACTAATGAACGTGTTGCATGCATGCTGCAGATGTGTCCCGGTTCGACATAGATGTGCAGCCGCTCGCGTTCTTTCTTCTGCTGGCCCTCAGAGGTGTGGGCTGGACATTTCAGAGAGAACAATAGGAAGTTGTTAGAGGACTGTTGGTGTGGTGTGTGCCTGTCAGGTCAGGTTAGAGCCGATGTGTGGAGACATTATATCCTGACAGGCAGCCCTAACACCTCTCTTGGCGGGTTCTGTCTGTCTCAAGAGTAAAAAAATAAAAAAAACTACCAGAGGACAATAAAAACTTCAGGCTGTTTTATTGAAAAATAAGATGGCTTCATTCTGTATTACAGGCTGGAAAAGTACCTGCTGGAAGGAGAAGTTCACTCCCACAGTGGAATTTTAGCAAACCTCGTGGATAATCTGTTTTGTTCAATTTGGACTCCTAAACTAAAAAACTTAGATGGTAAAATTAAGTACTTAAGAATCTGTCAGGTTCAGTCGATGGTAACGATGTAGAAATAGAAAGCAGGCAAAGGTACAGTAGCAGCCATTCAATATGGCCCCTCCCAGTCAAAAGCCAGCAGAATGGCAGCAAAATCCCCTCAGACTTCCAGCCACTGAAGTGACCCCCTCTTGCATATTCTTTTACTCTGACTCCACCCTTTCACTGAATTACAGGGTCTGACCAGGAGAAGACGCTTCTCTTTAAATCTTAATATCCACAATTCATGACAGAATATTTTAGATTGTTTAAAATGAATTGTAGAGGACAAGCCAAGGATCCATCAAGGAAAGTGGGGAATTGTGAATGGCCACTACTGCAAGTGGAGAAAGACATTGTATACTGTAGAGGAGTAAGGAAGAGCAGGGTTTAGGTGTTTTCTTTAAGATTTGAAAACATGGCAAACACACAAGGGCTCAAATACAGAAAATACCACTTTTTTTTTTCAATTCACAGAGATGTCGGAGTTCAAACTGGGTGAACATTGAAAGGTCTGCAGTAAAGGTGGGAAGCCGACATGGGTCAGTAATCCCAGTCTTAGCTGAAAATCCCAACCATCCAGAGGAGCAATCAGCTGTGGTGAAATGTGGACAAAGCCTTAAGACCCGCATCTCCAGCCAAGTGCTGTTGGCACTCCTATAACTAACAGAGCTAAGCCTTCAACAACAACAGCAGGGCTGCAGACAGAGACACGGGTAGACAGAAGAATGACAAGACCTGAGAGCTTTCCCTGTAATGACGTAAATACAAAGCCCGGCGATGTCTTCCACAAAAGCACTTCCTTAGACAGCTCTGCACTTTGCAGCACAACCTTATGCATGAAAACATCTGCTAACAAAACGAAATTACCTGTGAGAAATTACACTCAGGTGTTTTCTGGAAGCAAATATTTAGCAGCTGCATATGATGTTGACATCATTCTAATGTAAACTTTGAAAGAACTGATGGGAAAGTTTGTATTTGCTTCATAACTCATCAAGGTCATGACTTGAACAAGTTTTCTTTGGTTTAAAGTCTTAAGTTTAGCTTGAATAATAAAACTCTCCATCAAACACTCCCTACAGGGTATCCTAACACTAATTTCCAATGAACATAACATATCATGTACAGACCCGTGTAAAAGGTGTGTGATTTTTGAAAGGCTCCAGGCATCACGTTGTACTGCAGTGTGTGCAACATTACACACAAGTCAGACTGGATGGCAAGCAGTAACCAGTCAAATGTGCAAGAATCCGTCAGCTTATTGATGTCTTAGGGCGGACATTCTGTACTGCACTTCTGCATGGATGGCAAATGCACTCTTATAAAAGTAGGAGCTGGCACTCAAAGAGGTACAGGAATACAGGCATCTCAATGAAAATATAATTAACTCACTTTCCTTTTTACCTCATAATATATAAAGTAATTAAACTGAGTATTTTTTCAAGCAATTATCATTCTGTTTTATGACAGAAATGGTGGATGACTGGATGAAGTATGAACAATCAGACAAAGGAACTTTAAAAAACAGTGCAGCGATAAGGTGACAGATCAACGGTGAGTATAGCAGAAGAAACAGTCAATGAACCATGAGGCTTTTCAGTTTGAATGCTCAAGAGGAGTATTATAAGAATCAGGCAAAACTAATCAGACTTATTCAGAAATGCTGGGAGAGAATCATGGGAGGAATTTGGGAAGGTGACTAATTATCCTATTAAACACAAAGGCAGTACTTCTGGCAGACAATCTAATGCAATCCTCACAGAAAACACTAAGAATTTAAGTCATACTAGGGTCACACAGGGCTTCATCCAATCTTATTAATGGAAGGTTCAAAGGTTCAAATGTAGAACCTTCTATTGTAGTTATAACACTTTCACTATGGTGTTTATTTGAGTCTGACTTAAACCTAATAGAGAATCTGTGGGTTGTTGTCAAGAGGGAGATGAAGTTCACCAAAACTCACTCTTGTGAAGCAGCTATTAAAAAGCAACCTTTCTTTCATTAACACCGTAAGCCGGGCTTTTACTGTACGATTTTTGCCTTTTTCGGGACGCCTTTTCAGTCATTCGAGAATTTTTAGATCAGGTCGACTTTCAGCTTGATTGTGAAGTGTAAAGGGGGTAACGAGCAATCAGCCTCTCACGACCACGATCAGGAATCGTGGGGTCTGGAGAAAATCACACGTTTGAAATTCAGTCGGCCGTTTTGGGCAAATTGCTCGGTGCGCAAACACCGTCGCCTTTTGTTCTTAGGGCTTTCAGCACAAAATTGCACAAATTGCCAAAGCAGCATGTTTCTCTCTATTGAGCTTAATTTTTCTCTTCTACTCGTTTGGCTTCTGGATAGAGTCTAAATAGCGCCATCTCACTGCGGCTCTTGAGTCCCACGTGGTTTTTAGACGTCTAGTGTAGGCATATAGATCGCATCAGAGCGTCGGGCCGCACAGTGTGAGAACATGCATCGTGAGCTGTGAACTCACACTGTACGACAAAACCTTGCAGTTTCACTGTGCGATTGCTTTAGCAGTGTCGTAGACTGGGACACAGTGCATTAATGCAGTTTATAAAAGCAAAATGCGTAATTTTCTAAAAACTCGATGAGCGAGAATGGAAGGTTAGACGTGGGAAAAGTAATGCAGATCTGGTATATTTCAAAATAAAAGGGTCCTGCAAGCATAGAGAAAAGACTGCAGCACGGCAACATTTTGACGTAGATGACTAAACAAACGTGAAAGAAATTATGGCCCCGTCCACACGAAGTCAAAACGAACACGAAACGCTAATATATTCCAGAACATTTGTCGTAAAGACGGAGACGTAAAATAAATGTGATCGACCACATGAATGCATGAAAACGCTGCAAAATGTATGCCAGGCCTGTTAGTGGCGCTGTGGTGCCAAAGCAAAAATAGGCGACGAAATGTTGGGCATGCGCACTAATATTTATACATGGTTGCCCTGCGGGTCCATTTTCGTGGTTCAGTCAAATTCAGGTGCTGAACTATGTGGTCGATATTGCTCTGTTCTTCCTGGAGATATTCCAGAAGAAGAAGATTCTGTTGTAAGCCCGACAGCAGGGTGAGTAGCATGAGCAGCAACCATTCAACACAGTACGGCGCCATTGTTGTTGTGATACTGTGTCGCGCATGCGTGTTTAGAGGCGACGCTATGACGCATGCGTGTAAGAAAAAAATGCAGTTAGAGCTTAAAGATGGAAACGCGAAAACGGCGTTTCAAAATCTTCCCACTCTGAAGGCTTAATAAAAAAAAGATCGTTTACAGACCCCCGAAACGCCGGCTTCGTATGGATGAGAGGCTGGTTTGGTGAAAAATTTGTGCGTTTAGGCCAGGGTTTGACTTCATGTGGACAGGGCCTATATGTGAAGCCTGCTTGCACACACATGCAAAAGTCTTTATACTTGCAGAGCTCATCTTCAAAGAAGGCGCAAAGAGATTTGCTTTTGTAATTCTCAGACAGAGTAAACCTTTTTTACTGCGCGTCTTCATCACTAAGCGGATCATATTCTACTTACCAAGCCGGGAAAATTTTTGATGGAGGATATGCAAATGTAAACATCGACTTTCAAGCTGAACTCAACTGCAACAACTGCATCTTGTTTAATATTCATTATAGTAGGGTGTAAAATCCCATATAAAATGTCATCAGTCAATAGACGACAAAAGGAGAAACTGGTACAGTGCCACAGGAATGGATAGAGATCAAGCGATTATATAAACGTTATGGGTACATTTTTCATGTTTCATCATATTTATTTATACAATAAAGAAACAACAGAAAAAAACTAGTTGCATGTGAAATTTAGTGCTTTTTATTTGAAGAATCGTTGAAGATCGAAGATTGAATATACTACAGCACAGTATGGTCTTAATGAAAATGT